TAGCATTTACTGAGTATTTCTCTGTCCTGAGGGATGTAAACAATATTTTTGGTGTTCTGAGGCTTTTTAAATGAAGTGCTTAAGCCCAAGAGGGTAAATCAGGAAAAAATAATTTAAAAATAAATCAGGTTAAAGCTCTGAAGAGTAACCTACAGGAAGTTACAAACAGGGTATAGAATATGAGGCCAATGTACATATTTTAACTTACAGCATAATTTAAGTGGTAGAAATTAGCAGGGGAAAATACAGTGACGGCAAATAGCAATTATACATTAATCAATAGTTAGTCCTCTGTAAGAAGATAGCACACTATTTTTGAAAAGTTGGCTGGTGGGAGAAAGAGAATGAGCAAGTTTTTAAGGGGTGTATCAGAACAGAAATAGGTCTTGAGGCTGAATAACTTACTTTATGTGGGTAAACAGTTGCCAATATATACTAGGCTATGCTATATACTAGGCTATGCCCATCAATGTGGTAGGTATGGCTCATCTCCTAAGGCTTAATACTGAATTTGCTTTCTGCTTTTGGTTTAAAGGCAGCGCTTTAACACTTTTTCTTTAATTAAAAAAAAAAGTAATTTTTTATTTTTAAATATATGACAATGCAGTTTATTAGAACCAGTTTTGCAAGTGTCTGTCTTTTTTTTTTTTTTTTTTTTAAATAAATTGTGCTTTTTATTTTTCTGGTGGGAAAATACTACTGTTGGGTAACTAATAAATGAACTCTGCAAGGAACTACCATAGATCAAGGCTGTTCTGCTAAAGAAGAAAAAACAAGTTGAAGCAGGGTGGAAACTGCAGTGAATTGTCAGTTAGACTTTTAACAGATAAGTTCACTGTGTTAGAAACTGATATTTTCCTTTGAAAAGATAAAGCTGAAAAATCTTTGTGGCACAAGAGGAGCAAGTTACTGCAACAGGGAGCCTTACTGAACAGAGGAAACTTAGTTGTGTGAGCAATCAATTTTTTTTCTGTTGTGGTTAATGAGATTTCACTTAATGTTTTCCGATCAAAGAGTAATGTGAATTTATAAAAGTTCATCAATGAAAACAAAATGACTGAGGTGGAGATCAGAAAATGACTTTTTAATGACATTATCAGATAGCTAACAGCTGTTACATTAAAAATTGCATGTATGTGTTTGCACACCCACGATATGAACATTTTTGTGAATAAAAAATGAATAAGAACATAAGAACAGCCATACTGGATCAGACCAATGATCCATCTAGCCCAGTATACTGTCTCCTAACAGAGGCCAATGCCAGGTGCTTCAGAGGGAATGAAGAGAACAAGCAATCATCGAGTGATCCAATCCCTATCATCCACACCCAGTTTCTGGCAGTCTGAGGTTTAGCGATACCCAGAGCATCCCCGACCCTCTTGGCTAATAGCCAGTGATGGAACTGTCCTCCAGGAAATTATCTAGTTCTTTTTTTGAACCCCGTTGTAGTTTTGACCTTCACAACATCCCCTGGCAACGAGTTCCACAGGTTGATTTTGTTGTGTGTGAAGAAATACTTCCTTTTGTTTGTTTTAAACCTGCAACCTTTTAATTTTATTAGGTGACCCCTGGTTCTTGTGTTATGTGAAGCAGTAAATAACACTTCCTTATTCATTTTCTCCATACCGTTCATGATTTTATAGACCTCTATTTTATCCCCTCTCAGTTGTCTCCTTTTTAAGCTGAACAGTCAGTCTTTTTGATCTCTGCTCATATAGAAGCTGTTTCATACCCTTAATAATTTTGGTTGCCCTTCTTTGTACTTTTTCCAATTCTAATGTATTTTTTGAGATGGGGCAACCAGAACTCCATGGGGTATTCAAGGTTTGGTATACCATGGATTTATATATTGGCACATTATGATATTTTCTGCCTTATTATCCATCCCTTTCCTAATGGTTCCTAACATTGTTAGCTGCTGCCCATTGAGGAGATGTTTTCAGATACTTATCCAGGATGACTCCAAGATCTCTTTCTTCAGTGGTAACAGTTAATTTAGATCCCATAATTTTGTATGTATAGTTGGGATTATTTTCCAATGTGCATTACTTTGCATTTATCAACATTGAATTTCATTTGCCATTTTGTTGCCTGGTCACTCAGTTTAGTGAGATCTGTTTGTAACTCTTCACAGTCAGCTTTGGACTTAACTATCTTGAGTGATTTTTGTATTGTCTGCAGATTTTGCCACCTGTTTACCCCTTTTTCCAGATCCTTTATGAATATGCTGAACAGTACTGGTGCCAGTACAAATCCCTGGGGGACATCACTGTTTACCTCTCTGTATTGTGAAAACTAACCATTTATTCCTACCCTTTGTTTCCTGTCTTTTAACCAATTACTGATCCATGAGAGGATCTTCCTTCTTATTCTATGACTGATTACTTTGCTGAAGAGCCTTTGGTGAGGGATGTTGTTAAAGGCTTTCAGAAAGTCCAGGTACACTGACTGTATCCACTGGATTACCCTTGTCCACATGTTTTTTGATCCCCTCAAAGAATTCTAATAGATTGGTGAGGCATGATTTCCCTTTACAAAAGCTGTGTTGACTCTTCCCCAACAAACTGTGTTAATCTATGGGTCTGATAATTCTGTTCTTTACTACAGTTACAACCATTTGCTGGTATGGAAGTTAGGATTACTGGCCTGTAATTGCCAGGATCACCTTTGGAGCCTTTTTTAAAAATCGGTGTCACAGTCCCTATCCTCCAGTCATCTGGTATAGAAGCTGGTTTAAATGATAGGTTACATACCACAGTTAGTAGTTCTGCAATTTCACATTTGAATTCCTTCAGAACTCTTGGGTGAATACTATCTGGTCCTGGTGACTTATCTGTTTAATTTATCAACTTGTTCCAAAACCTCCTCTGTTGACACCTCAATGTGGAACTTCTCTGCAGTCTTACTTGAGTGCTCCTTTAGCCCTTAGGTCATCCAGTAGCCCCACTGATTATTTGGCAGGCGTTCTGCTTCTTATGTACTCTTTTTTTCTGTTATTTAGTCTTTTGCTAGTTGCTCTTCAGATTTTTGTAAAGTTGTTTGTTCTGTAGAAATTGCCACTGCCATGCATTGCATAAATTTTTAGTCTTCATTAGAGTATAAATTCATTTAGTGGAAGCAACATTACATTTTTTGGCATTTGTCATATTTGCTTTTTCATGAAGTACTAGCTACTGTATATTATTAGAAAACTGCAAGAACTGAAAGGCGGGGAGGGATAGCTCAATGGTTTGAGCATTGGCCTGCTAAACCCCGGGTTGTGAGTTCAATCCTTGAGGGGGCCATGTAGAGCTCGGGGACAAAAATTTGTCAGGGACAGTACTTGGTCTTGCTGTGAAGGCAGGGGATCTTTGATGACCCCTTTCAGTTCTATGAGATAGGTATATCTCCATATTAAAAAAGTTACCATATGAGGAGTATGATCTGAAATGTAGCACATAGTTGCAATGGAAATTAGCTAGCAAAATATTTGAAGAGGGAATGAGAGAGGAAAATTGTTGGTAGAATAAAGGGTGATTATTGGAAATTACAAAACAGGTAAAGGGAAAACTTCATGAAGACCATTACAGGAGTAATAACCAGAATCAGAGTTGGAGCACAGTTTATGCATACAAACAGAACTGCACTAGAGAGGCATTTGATAAGAATAATTCTTGTAGATGGCTAAAGGAAAGAAAAAGGCCTCATATCCTTAACTCAAACTTCTGTAGGAAATGTCCTCCGCTATTTGAAAAAGAAGCCATCACAGTTAGTTCAGTGTTTGAGTGCTTGCTTGGGAATGATTGGGTTTGATTAGGAAGGCAAACCCTTCCCTCTGAAAATGTGTGTGATTGTTGAAACATAGAGCTTGACTAAAATTCCTCTGTTTCACATTACCGTAATTGACTGTTGTCTCCCAGTTTTGTTGAAATAACTCTTCATAGGACAGTTGAATTTTGTATTTGACATTTTAGTAAAATATTTATTAACTTGTACAGGGGAAACAATTATTTTTTCCCATTTCTTTCATTTCCTCTGACTGAAACACCATGGTTCCCACAAACTTCAGACTGTGTGCGCATACAAACACATATTCTGATAACAGCTCTGACACAGACTACAAACTCCCAATTGCTCCCACAAACAGCCACACACTTATTGCTTTAACCAGACAAGTGACTCTGTCTGAGTGCATATGATAATACTTAAAACTAAGTGTCTTACAAATATTAAGCTTCACAACATCCTCTGAGCTAGATAAGCTTTATTAATACCAGAGTGCTCTCAAAGCCTTAAAGGGTAATGCAACCTCTGCACTGTAATTTTTGACCTACATGCATTCAGTTCCCTGAAAGTTTTCCTGTTCCTTTAAGCTTTAATTGTGTGTAAAGTAATAGCAAAACAAATATTTTTGAACTGTATTTTTAATTTTTTTCAGCTACCTTAGTTTTGGGTGACCAATGATGTGTTGGCTTGTTTCCACCTGTCTATAAAATCTTAGGAGGGAACCTGATACCCATTTTGCAGTTGGGCAAATTGCAAAAGATAGGCAGCATTCTTGAATGTCACAAGGAATCGGTGGCAGAGTTGGAAATAGGACCCACGTCTCCTGGTTCCCATTTGTCTGCTATAACTATCAGACCTCATTTACTCCCTATGTGTAATATTCTTGCTAGTCACAGATTGCTACTATATTAATTAAAACAGAAATTTGGGCTTGACAAGCAAGATAACTCTTTTTGCTGCTCAGGTGTTCACAGTCAATTTTATTTTCTTAGTGAGGTCTTGCCGTTCATTACGTGTAGTGACTGTGAACATGTTCTTCATTAAAATTTTGTGCAAGAGACCAAATAAAAGACGTCTTTGGTTTGTGACCATTCAAGCAGTTCCGGCAGATGCCGCTGTCAAAATGGCAAGACACTAGTGTGGTGCTAGTGGCGGTGGTTTTAATACTAACCTTTTTCTATTTTATTTTTGTGTTAACTAGTGGGAGCACAGTTTTGGTCTTGAAGAAAATCCTGGGAGAGGAATGGACCATGTTCTCATGAAGTTAATACCTGTGATCCAGGAATGCTATAGAGGTCAGTGACTGGGACTGGGAAGGGAAGCTGTGTGTGTTTAAAAAGCTTTTGCTAGAATTGCTTTGGCTTTGTAATTGCCACAAGCAGTTGTTTGACTGGTTTTGCATGCAGTCTGGAGCTCTAAGGACTTTGTCTGTCAGAGAGAAGGGAAAAGTGTATCAACTTCAAACACAGAAAATCTAAAATTGGTGTACCAAAACACTTAAGTAAGGTTACGGTGCTAATTTAGTCCTATAAAAGCATTAGAAATGCATAGTTAAGTCTGCAGTTATTCACTTAACACGGGGTAGGTAACCTATGGCACGCGTGCCGAAGGCGGCACGCAAGCTGATTTTCAGTGGCACTCACACTGCCTGGGTCCTGGCCACCGGTCTGGGGGGGTTCTGCATTTTAATTTAATTTTAAATGAAGCTTCTTAAACGTTTTAGAAACCTTATTTACTTTACATACAACAATAGTTTAGTTAGACTTATAGAAAGAGACCTTCTAAAAACATTAAAATGTATTACTGGCACGCGAAACCTTAAATTAGAGTGAATAAATGAAGACTCGGCACACCACTTCTGAAAGGTTGCCGACCCCGACTTAACATATTACACTGCATTTAAACTTCTACATGCTCAAAGCCAGTGATCCAGGGCTGTTGGGTTAGACTCTGAAATTCTTAATTGACGGGCAGCAATGCTAATGGAATACCCTGTGGACACATGGTATTGTTTGCTTACCAACTTGTACCCCTAATTTTGAGAAGTTTCTTCTGCTCCTGTCTATAATAATCTATGTATAAAGAAAAGAGAAGACAGGAAATGCCTATACTGTGGGAATCTTAATATTTCTTTGATATATCTTCTCTTTGACGTAAGGAGCTTGGTTTTTATTTAGAATCATTTAAACGTAGGGCTGGACGTCATCTACTCTATCCTCCCATGCTGAGACAGGATTAAGTATACTTAGACCTTCCATGACAGGTGTTTGTTTAACTTGTACTTAAAAACCTCCAATGACAGGGACTCGGCAACCTCCTTATGTAATCTATTCCATAGTTTATCCTTACAGTTAGAAAGTTTTTTCCTAATATCTAACCTAAATCTCCCTTGCTGTAAATTAAGCCCATTACTTCTTGTCATACCCTCAGGGGACACAAAGAACAATTGATCATAGTCCTCTTCATGTAAACCCTTTAAAGGTCTGAAGACTCTTTTCATATTTCCCCTCAGCCTTCTCATCTCTAGACTAAACATGCCCAGTTCTTTCAACCTTTCCTCATACATCATGTTTTCTAAGGGTATGTCTACACAGCAAAAAGAAAAACCCACAGTAGCAAGTCTCAGAGCCCAGGTCAACTGACTTGGGCTCATGCGGCAGGTCTAAAAAGGGCAGCGTAGGCGCTTGGGTTGGAGCCTGGGCTCTGAAACCTGTCAAGGGGTGAGGGTTTTGAAGCTGAGCCCAAACATCTATACTGCTATTTTTAGCTCTGTGGTGTGAGCCAAAATCAGTTAACCCAGGCTGAGACTGCCGCAGGTCTTTTTGGTGTTAATGTACCCCAAACCTCTTGTTTCTCTCCTATGGAGTCTCTCTAATTTGTTCATATCTGTCATACAGTGTGGTGCCCAAAACTGGACATTGTACTTCAGCTGAGGTCTCTCCAATTCTGAGTAGAGCGGAACAATAACCTCCTATGTGTTATGTATGACATTCCTGTTAATATACCCCAGAATGACATTGCCTTTTTCTCAACATCACACTGATTGATATTCAGTTTGTGATCCACTGATCCTTTTTTGCAGTACTGCTGGCTAGCCAGTTATTCCCCATTTTATATTTGTATATTTGATTTTTCCTTCCTAAGTATTGTCTTTGTATTTGTCTTTACTGAATTTCATCTTGATTTCAGACCAATTTGTCTTGGTCATTTTTTAAATTTTAAAGTGCTTGCAGCCCCTTCTAGGTTGGTATTATCTGCAGGTTTTATAAGTATGCTGTCTATTCCAGCATCCAAGTTGTTAATGTAAAAGTCCCATTGAGTTTAGGTTCCACTGGGATTTTGTGTTTAGGTCTCAATTTCTTTGGATTCATTGTAATATTGCTAGACCTTTAATGTGGATTTTTCTTATTATTAACATAGTCCTAGTGCAAATAGGATAGTCTACATAATGGCTTCTTTTTAAAAGCTGAATATTTAGCTAGTGTAATTTACACTTTTGAAATACTAAAGGGGATTAAATGGATTTTTCACCTGATAGATTTTTTCTTAGCATGTGAAGTCAAAGAGGAGCTTATATAAGCATCTAACTCAGTAACACTTAATTTTGCTCATGTAAATTAAATATGGCAAAACAGATTTGTTGGGAACCTGGTAAGTAAAGTAAAGTAAAAGGAGGTGTGCAATAATAATAAAATGTTCCTGGCCAGATAATTGAATTTTTACAGCGTTTATAAAGGACATGCTGAGAGCCACTATGGCAGCAATGTTAAAATAAATGTCACCACTTTATTGCCTGTTGGTAACCTTACTCCAGTCAATGTGTATTAAATGTTACAAATGGGCTAAATTAATGTTCCTTCAGTACCAGTGTAAGTGAATGTTATAGATATCAAATAGTAACTGCCAAGGCTCATAGGTACCACATGTGATACACAGATTCTTTGCAGATCAAAAGAAGAAAACCTTTTTTATCACATGAATTCTGTAGTATGACACAGTATGTGACACTCTTCTACCGCACAGAAAAGTGATGTGGCATACTAGAAAAGACCAAACAGCAGGGAAAACCCCTATTAGCCCAAATTTGCAGCGTTTACAGGATTACACCAGCACAAAATAACTATTTCTGTTAATGGTCGTCTTTTTATGGTACACTTTAAAAAAATAAAAATAAAAATGGTATTTATACATTCCCACCATCTTTCCTGAATTGGATTCAGGTGATCAGAGCATAAATTATTTATTTTAAAAAATTAACAAAACATTTTGTGGTAGCAAATGCTTTGTTTAAAGTTATGGTGTTACTTTCATTATGTCTCTTCCCCACTTCCAGCAGTGATTTGTTATCCTAGAAAAAATTCCTGTTTGGACAAAAGCCTTTTGTTTATCTCAGCCAAAAGGTCATTCCTTTTTTGGAAAACAAAATGATAGTTCTTCTTTGAGTGATTGTTCATGTCCATTCCAAGCAGGTGTGTGCGTGCCGCGTGCACGCCAGCCAGAAGATTTTCCCCTAGCAGCGTCCGTAGGGTTGGCCTCGGCACCCCCTGGAGTGGCGCCTCCATGGCGCCCTTTATAGGGGCCCGCCGACCCTCCACCCCCTCAGTTCCTTCTTACCGCCGGTGACGGCTAGCTGGAACTTTGCTCGCTCTTACAGCAAACTTAGCAGTGTCCTGTTTTCAGTGTATATAGTTTAGTTAGAATTAGAGTTAGTTGTAGATAGTTGTTGGTGGGGGCTTTCCCCCAACGTACTCGTCGCCCCGCTGGGGCATGCCTGGGTCCCCAGGGTTTAAACTCTGCAAGGACTGCGGGAAGTTTATGCCGAAGAGTGACCCGCACTCTTCCTGCTTAAGGTGCCTCGGAGAGAGCCACCAAAGAGACCAGTGCAGTATCTGCAGGGGATTTCGTCCCAGGATTCTTAAGGACAGAGAGCAGAGACTCAAAGTGCTCCTGATGGAGGCGGCCCTGCGGCCACATTCGGACCCTGAGCCGGCCGACCCGGCACCTCATCCTCGGTGCGCAGTGCCCTGGCACTGGTAACAAGACAGGAGGCCCAGGCCAAAACCTCCAAGCCCCAGCACCGGAGGGAGTCGGGACATAGAAAATCGGCCTCTGTAAGGCACTGTTCATCGTCTCCGGGTGCCCGCTAAAAAGAAGAGGCCGGTGAGGGGCCGATCACCCCACCGGGACCTTAAAGGGCCGGCGCCGTCCACGAGTGCGGGGGGGACATGCCGTGCCACAAACTCATCCTCCCATTGGTCCGTCGACTCCTGCCCCAGAGAGGGTGCGGTCGAGTCCGGACCGGTCGAGATCCCCGGATCTCAGTGAGGATGTGCGTCTCCCATCGACGCCGGAGGCGTTCGAGGTGGCCTCTGACTTATTAAGCCTCCCGGTTCCGGCCTCTCCGCACCAGTGGAAAGAACCACCGACCATGGCCTGACCCCCAATGCAATCACGGGGCAAGCCAGCCATGATGTCGCCTCAGTCCCTGCCCCGCGCTGCCCCAGCGGCATGGTGCAGAGAGAGCGTTCTCCGGCCCAGCGGCACTGCTCCCCGGCGGCAGTGGGTACTGCTCCCCCTAGGTCCTCCTATTCGGAGACCTCAGATTCGGAGCCGGAGTCCTACCACTCCAGTAGATCGAGGAGCAGGAGGTCGGCTTCACAGGCGAGCCAACAACCTTACCTGCCGCAGTGGCAACAGCAGTGGCAACCGCCCTCCCAGTGGCCATTCTGGACTCCCTGGGCCTATCATCAGTCCATGGGACAAGCATACGGCCCTCGCTCCAGGTCCGCATCGGTCTCCTCGACGTCGGTGGCTCCGGCGCAAATGCCTCCACCACCGGCACCGCCGTCCGACGGGTGTGCCGCAACAAAGCCCAGCACCCCCTAGCCATACACCAGCGGGGATCATGGTTCCGACACCGCAGGCACTGCCCAGCACGCCTCGTCGTTCGGTGTCGACCCCGGTACTGGCCGCGGTGCCGCATCTCGCGCCCGCACCAGCCACGCAACCGCAGTACCATGTGCTGCAGCCCCCTGCAGAGACTGAGGGGGCAGAGGAAGGCCCATTGCAGGTGATCTCCTCCTCTCCCTCTCCAGATGAGGCGGTTGCGGATACCTCAATGGCACCGGCCCTAGAGGACAACCGGGTGCTCCAGCAGCTACTTAAGCGTGCAGCCCAGAGCCTGGCGATCCAAGCGGAGGTGGATGTGGATCCGGTAGTGGACATTCTAGCCCCTTCGGGCCCATCCAGGGTAGCCCTACCGTTGATCAAAACGATAGCTGACACGTCCCGCACT